GGGTGTTTTGGAGTAATATAAATATGATAGATGTTATTCTGCTTTCACAAGTGAATACATGGTATATAATACTCAGATTTTGTGCAAATACATGTTTGTGTAAACATAATTACTAAAAGTGATAATATGTGCATGCTTTATATGGTAGTTATATTTTGGAATACAGTTTGATTTATTTCAGAAATTGTAGGATATCATATGGATTAATGTCTTGAAAATGTTCTTTCATGTTGGTTGCTTGGTAGTATTTTAAACAGACTTGGGTGAAGCTGTTACAATTTGTTACTAGGTGTTTTATTGTGTATATTTCTTGGCATGCTGTAAAGATTGAAGACGGTTCTTGTTTTAGAATATAAGAGTTTGTTATCACGGAGTGTCCAATACAAAATCTGGATTATTACTTCATCTTTCCTTGTTTTTAGTTTTTGATGCCATTCTTCTATAATAGGTTTGATGTTGTATAATTTGTTCTTTGGGCAGACAGTCTATAGTTTCTGCCATTCTTCTTTGAGAAATGAGATTTGAGTAAAAAATATGCATTGTTGGTAATCTTATGATAAAAATGTATTTTTATACTTTCACAGCATTTTGTTTTTGTTTGTGGGCGGTCAGTATTTGCCCATAGCTGGGGCCCTAACAGGTGCTACCACCTGTGGTCCTGGGAACAATATCAATTAAGAGGTGGTTCCGTACTCCTAAAAACCTTCAATCTCCTGATCAGAGGTCTTGTTGCTAGATGTAGTTTATCGTCATAACTAATTGATCTAATAAATATCTTTTTTATTTGATTGGAATTAATAAAAAAAATGTTGTTTTATAAATTGCTTACAAACATAATGAATAATGAATCTATGACAAAAACAAAGTCTCTTATCCCAAAGGTGGACAAGATCCCAGCTTCATATAAGTGTTAAGTCTGTTAGCCTATTATTACATTATATAAAGCTAACATATACATTTATATTCGTTATCATGCATGTGTTTCAAGTGATTGTTCATAATTATGCATGCATAAAAATGGAGCATACATTTGTGAACATGAAATAAGTTTATATATTGGAGATTGAGTTTATTGTCCCAATATGACATTGAGGTGTATATATTGGATATAGTGTTTATTATCCCAATATGACATTGGGGCATATATATTGGATATAGTGTTTATTATCCCAATATGACATTGGAGTGTATATATATTAGATATTATTTTTATTCTATGAAATTGACACTAAAATTTGAATTAAAAGTTAATTGAATTTTCAATGTTAAATTTGTTTCTTTTTATACATGAAACAAGGATTTTGTCTACTCTTGGGATAAGAGGCTGCTTTTTTTCCGCTGAGTTTGTGTCCTGTTACCATGAAAAACAAATTGTAAGATAATTACAAAATACATTATAATGTAGAATTCTAAACGAGGAAAGAATATGGAAAAGGGAGGAATTTGACTTGGAGAACACCTGGATTTGCATTTAGGATATATAGAAAATTTTTTAAACTTTGTTAAAAAAAAAATAAATAAATAATTAAGTTTGTGCAACTTTTTCAATTGTTATCTGTATGGGTGTCTATGTGTTTATGGGTGTATGCATATAAAATAAAAATAGTTGTGAGAATAAAATTTTGTTTTTTTTAAATTAAAGTTCAATTGAAAACTAATTTTAAACTTTAAAACTTGTCTGGCCTTGTAATTAAATTACATCTCTAATTTTTCTATATCCTCCTAGAAGTCATATAGTACCTCTTCCCTTACACTGCTTGTTCATTACAAAATGTTATTACTTTAATAAAATACTTTCTCATGAGTTATTTTAAAATGTATTACATCTGCCTAAAAAAAAAAAAAAAAATGTAGTTTTTTTTTTTTTTTTTTATCTTAGTTGGATAGGTTAGAAAAGCTTTTCGTCTAGTAATTTGGGGCACCTCCTAGAGTTGTCACCATTTTTTTTTTTTTTTTTTTTTTTAACAAAAGCCGATCATATTGGATTCTCACTAAGTAAATAAAACGTGCTTATAATTAAAACAAAGATATAGTCAATAATTTAGCTAAAACACGAAATCCTGTGGGAATAAGTTAATGATAGTGGAGGTTACTAGTTTAGTTTATGTGATCGATCAGATGAAGCCAAACATAAAACACGGACAGGTACCCCGAAATAAAAAGAAGAAAAGAAAGAAGAAAGCGAATCAGATAAAAGTAAAAGATTGTTGTTTTTTGTTGTTGTTAAATAGCAAATTGTGCAAAGTAAACAAAATTTGTTTTAGACGGATGCTATAATTTGCAAAGTCTTAACTTGTGTAGTGTGTAAAATGCATTATTGGGATAGAAAAGAAAACGAAAGAAAAGGTTACACTACACACAGCTTACCCTTTAGTTTAGAGACAGGGTCATTTGAAACATTCAACTAGTGGCTTGCTAAGAACAATAAACATAACATTTAGATGCTGAAAAATATATAAATAAAAGCGGAATAAAATGTACCAATAAAAATTAAAAATATATTATATTTCAAAGTAAAACAATAATTCAATTACATCTTTTCTTTTTTATTTGTTTAACGTGCAGAATTAAAAATACCGCAGCAAACCAAAAACGATTCATCTTTAAGCTGACAATTTAAAGAAATATCGCTATATATATGAAGTAAATAAAGAAAATAATTAAAAAAATTAAAAATCCGTGATTAAGAAAAAAAGGTATCACTTTAAGGAAAGTTTTACTGACCTACTTTATGTTCTACGGGTGACCAGAGGAACAACAATTATTTTGGGATGCTAAGAAATTTTATAGCCATAAAAAAAGAAAAAGATAAGATATACAAGTGTTAGTGGACAGATATTTTTTTGTTTATAGTCATTATCAAACATTACTTATCTTTGCTTTTTTATAATACGATATAGATGTTTAATTTAGCCTTTATGATCCAAGATGGTAGAAAATATTTTCCTTTTTAAAATATGAACTTATTCATCAGCCGTGATTTAGTTTCATGAAATAAAACACCCAGGTAGGAAAGAAGTGCATAAAAATGCCGATAAATAAATACAATCAGGAAAAATAAAACTAATAGCAACGCAAGGGTTTTTTTGTTTTTGTTTTTTCAGATGCAAATATCTTAAAAAACGAACGAAACATTAAGTTAAAATTTTCAAACCAGGTTTAGTTGGTTTTATGAGTAAAAATAAAAGCACTTAAGTTTGGAGTCCTGAGGTTTGGGTGTTTTAATTTTTTTATATTAATTTTTCCATAATTAATTATTTCAAACATTTAAATGTACTATAAATGAAAGAAGAAGGAACCCATCTTCTGATCGCAAACAGAGCTAAAATTCTAATCGTAAAGTAAATAAATATATATATATCAACGAAAAAACGGTTTTAAAAATGTAAATTTAATAATTACTAGCATATATAACCAAAAATCAAAGTTATTCTTTCTATATTGTTGAAAAAAAAATAAAAATAAATAAATAAGATCACGCACCTGCCATCTCCTCAGGGAAATTGACATCATCAACACATTTAATTTGAAAGAGAATAAAAATACCTACATCTTTACTTTAATTGACGGGTAAAGTATCGTGTTTTTAAAATGCAACAACAAATGTATTTTAGAAATGAAACAATTAGAGGATTATTATAAAAATTTAGGAACTTTGTTACCAACCTACCTGTAACAGCAAGGAGATATTCTTGAGACATTGTTTTGTTGTGCTTTTTGAAACCTTCCTCACCTTTTTTTTTTTTTTTTTTGGAGTTTCTTTTTCTTTTTTTTTCGGGTAAAAATATCGTTGGACAGAGACAATGATGAGGGGGGGGAAAAGATGCACTTACTTTTTATAATATATATGCGTGTATATATATATATATATATATATTATATATCACAATTTTTTTTCCACTAGGAATTTATAAATTTCTTTGCTTTCTTCTTGTTAAATCAAAACCAAATATATAGATAGATATAACATATATAGATATATTTAAGTACGTACCGAAAATTAAACAAAAATTTTAAAACTCAGAGACGTTCGCGTTGGCAAAGAAAGACGAAAATAAAAAGTAAAAAAATCAGTCGCTTATAATTATTTTTTTTTTAGTCTATTTTTAAATAAATTTGCGAGTTTAACATCTTCTAAGGTGTAATGAAGCTGATAAACGCGAATTTGATAGCAAAATAAGATGGATTTTTTGGTGGTAAGAAATAAAGCAAATTTAAACAAGTTTTAAAAAGATTAACGTTAAAAAAAAAACAAAAAAACAACCTTAAACAAAGTTTGTTATTTTTTGTGCTCCATCTGACTTTGTAAAAAAACAAAAATGACTACCTAAATAAAATGATATACAAAGTAGCTTTAAAAAAAAAATCTTTGTATAGATAATAATATAGATGTTTTTTTTTTACATTATTAATACTAAAATTGGAGATATAATAAAAAAAATATTTTTTCGTCTCCCCTCCAAACCCCACAACGACAAATGGGGGGAAGACGAAACGAAAGAAAACTTCCGGATATTCCAACAAAGACGTATTCCACTCCGTTAAGCGGCAAATAAAACAATAATTTAATTAAATATCTAGCGAAGATTAGTATATAAGATTAATTAAAATAAAAATCAATTAATGTTTTATTTTTTGATGGGAAACTTAAAGAAATACCATCGTATTTTGTTTACTAATTCCATTTGCGCCGATAATAATCGGCGGGAGGTTGCCCTGGAGAGCTTACGTCATAGCCACTTGTTTATTATCATAACCAGCTTCACATTTGGCCATATTGAGGCTAACAGACAGCAATATCCGGACATTCAGTGATTATTTCTTTTTTTTTCCGGGACAATAATACTTAAACATTTTACCCATATCTTTCGTGGGAGATTACCCTTTCTATCCTCTGAAGCGTGCACATCTTTTTTTTTTTTCGATTGGAGTTTTCTACTTAATGAACGGAGTTCTATAGAATGATGGAGAGAGGACTTTTGCTAACGGGAGTGTTGTTAATGGTGCACCTGAGCAAAATCGGCGCAGCCATCTCAGGTAAGCTAACAACATAATAATAATAAATAAAAATTAATTAGCTTGAATATTCTATCTCTATTTTCTCTCTGCCTCTCTTTAATGATCATATATATATATATATTTTATTTTTATTTTTTTTTTAAAATCATTTTTTTCTCTAAGATAACCCAAACACTTGTACACACCTACACAGGTATGACCCTCCTGTGTGTATCTATTTTTTTTTATCTGTTTTATTTTCTTAACTTAACTAAAAAAAAAAAACAAATAGCTGTATCTGTGGACAGTGCTTGTCTGTCATTTCCGTGTTAATCAAGCAAGATGATTGCTATTTAATTACTGAAATTTGCACGAAAACGGTTTAAAAACCCAACCAACCACCATTTCAGTTTTCATGGCAAAAATGCGCAGTTTATTCTTTCACTTATAAACTGCCTCTCTAAAACTTCGCATTTCTTTTAAATTTAAAGAACATCTACCTGACAATGATCCAACATCTATATCTAATAATACGTTTTAATTATCCTCAGTTCAGATCTTTCGCAAAAGATGCTTTTTAACTTGGAATGATTTGATGATTTTCCTCCTAGTGTTTGCTTTTCCATCATCCTGCAAAATAGGGTATCTTTTGAATTTTTGTAATTTCTTTTAGCTTTCGAAGCTTATTGTCGACATGTAGAAAATTTAAAATTTTTATTTAATTATAGAATAATATTAAAATTGGAAAAACCTAAATTTGTTTGCATGCATGACATTTTTAAATGATTTGTTACTACCTCCTTCCTTTCTCTGATAATTGTAAATTTGAATATAAAAAGAATGAACATTTATCCCTTTAAAAACACTTTGTAATGATGATTTCCACTTCTTGTATCATGTTTAGTTTGTTTCTACGATTATCATTTGCTGGTTCTTTATAAATTAAAGAATAAATATTTTTATTTTCGTTGTTTTTTTTTTTTGTTTTTTTTTCTAGTGCGTTTGAAAAAGTATATCCAAACCAAAATCAAATCGTTTTTCTTCACGCAAAAATCTTTTCTTCACCTACCCATTCATTCATTCATTATTCATTCATTCATTTTTCTATTTAAAATTGGAGATTTGAATAATGAAAGTTACATTTCTTTTCTATTTTTCTGTTCTTGAGGAAAAAAAATGATGCTTTTTCTTTTGATTCTAGTTTGCATTTTAAATACTGAAAATAGTACGTTTCAAGCTTAATGAAGAATTGCGTTTTATTTCCTATTATTAATTAAATGAGACGATTGCTGATTCTAAATTAAAGAAAAAAAAGCTAAAAAGACCATCATTTCAGCCGATAATTCTTCATCATTTTTGTTATAAGAAACAAATCAAGTTTGTTCTTCTTCATTCGTCACTGCTACTACTATTTAGTAGTTAGTTGCAATTGATGTAGCTAGTAACAATCTAACACGCTTCTTGTGATTTCTTGAATGGTTTTTCCAATTAAATAAATAAAATCCATTTAAATGTAGAGGAAAAATAAAATCAAGTTAGAATTAAGATTGTAACGATGCCTGGAAATGAATGATTTTAATTAAATTTGCCGGTTAGGAGAAGCCTTGGTCCTAACCAAGGAATCATACTGTCTTAATTGAATTATTTCTCTTTGCCATTTCGTTCCTTAAGAAACAATACATTTTCACAGGTGGGAATTCGCATTTTTCTACCCTATTTCTATATTGGAATAGTTAAATGAATTGTGGATTATATTATTTTTTTAAAGAGTATTATGTAGCCTGTTTTTAGAAAGCCCTTTGATTAAAAAAGTTAAACAAAAAAAAAAAAGAAAAAAGAAGGGCATGTGACCTAAATATTAGCGAAATTGTTTCACTTTAGAGGAAATTAACTTTGATTTTTGTTGTTATTTTTCCGAGAATTAAATAAATTTTTTTAATTATCTGTTGCTATTGAATTTATCCTCGCTTAAGATTTCTTAATCTCTCCTGAGATTATAGAGGTATTTAAATGTTTTTTTTTTTTTTTCCCACACCCTTTCCTCAAATTCGCCATTGGTAGGTTTCTTTTTACACCTTAGTTGAGGTGAAGGAAGAACAAACAAGTGGGCAAAGGTTTCAGTTCAGGTGTGTTCTTTTTCCCTCCACAATTTCTCATCTATTACTTTTTTTTGTTTTTATTTTATTTTAAAAAAATAAAATACCAGTTTGTTTTTCTGGATAAATAAAATTTAGCTTTTTATTATTTTGTGTAGATTAATTTTAGTTTGAAATTTATTATAAACTGAAATGTGAAAATTAAAATTTCGCGTGCGCGCATGTGTTTGCGGAAAAATGAACGCCCGCATTTAACCATTGGATAAACACTGCATATTCTGAATGCGTGTGTATGTATTATATATATATATATATATATATATATATATATATATAATGCAGGCACCTGGTTATACCTGGTACCTCCCGCCATATCTATTATTATTATATCTTGTTCACCTGGCTACTTGTGCTTTCATGTGTCTAGCAGCTGCTAGCCATCTCGTCTGATCTTTTCCCACTAATTCAACCCACACAATACAAAGTAATAATCGCTCAACCAACCTTCCTCAATTATTACTTTTTATTTTATTTGCTTCTCTTTACCCGGAGTCTTAGAATATTAATTTGGAAGGAAAGATGTTCCTTATCCAATGTAACTTCCTTGTATTTCTTTTTTGTTTTAGCCACTGAACGTTTCCTTTTAGCGGATATTTATTGTAGCTATTTTCAGTTCTTGTGAAATTAGATAAAAAAAAAAAAATAGATTCTTTCTCAATGTCGAATTGTATTCCTGGTCTAAAAATACTAACGGATGCTTTAACTTTTTCTCACTTCGAAAAAAAAATAAATAAATAAAAAAATAAAGTAAAAAAAAAAATAACAAATACATAAAATAAATAAAAAATACAATATACATAAAATAAAACAAGCTTATTAAAGTAAAGCACATAAATAAAAAAAGGTAACAAATAAATACGTAAAAATGAAACAGACAATTAAAAAAAAAATACATACCAAATAAAATTAAAAAATACATAAATAAAAAGTACATAACAAATAAATAAAAATTTATAAAGTAAAACAATAAAAATACATCAAATAAAAGTTTTATTTTATGTATTTTTATTGTTTTATTATGAAACATAAAAATCAAAAATGCATCAAAGACAAAAATACATCATAAAACAAACAAAAATGCTTCAAATGAAACAAAATGCCGCACAAAACAAGTAAAATATAATACAAAAAAAATATGAAATAAAACAAAATGCATGATAAACAAAAAATGCGCCATAAAACTAATTAAAATGTGCCAAATAAACAAAAATACATCACAAAACAAATCAAAATCAAAAAACAAATGTATCACAAAAATACATGAAATAAAACAAAAATGCATCATAAAACAAATCAAATAAGCAAAATGCATCATAAAACAAATAAAAATACATTTTTTAAACATAAAAAATGCTTCATAAAATACATAAAAATGCATCACAAGACAAATAAAAATACACAAACTAAAACAAATAAATTAAAAATTATAAGTGATTTAAACATCTATTTATTTTTATTTGTCAGTTTCTTTGATGAAAAAACGTTGAAAAGAAACCTTAGATTTAGAAAAAGTGGCATTTATCTTAATCTTTTTTTTTTTTAACATTTCGTAAAACTCGTAACCATAGAATGGAATTAGTTTTGTTTTATTAAAAAAAAGTGATTATTAACTTTTTGAGTAATCATTTATTTTAATTTTAAAATTTAACTTATTCATTGACTCGCTTAAGGAAATAAAACACTAAAAAAAAGTATTTTTGGTTTAAAAATATTTTGAATAAAATAGCAAGGAAAAATAATTTTGTTTTTCCAGTATATATTATTTTCATAATTTCAGCTAATTGGAAGTATCAAATTTGGGGTTCTTATCATAAAATTTATTGACGAGTTCAAGATATTTTGTTCATTAGTGAGAGATCTTGTTTTTCAAATTATATTTCTTAGTAATTACGCTTCTTGTTATAATGGTAGCGACAAACAAGAATTTCTTGAACATTCGGTTTGCTATTTTTTTAATTTTTAAAACGAATTATTTTTATTGGAAAACTTGTTTTGTGGCTGCTACTGTGTTACCCCAAAAGTTCCTAGTGCTTTTTCTTGTTAGATGGCATTACTAGAGAGATGTTTAGTTTTACCTTGATACAAACAGAAGGATCGATTTGTTTGTAATAAGTTATTATATCTTGTATTTTTTAAAAAAAAAGACACAAGTGTCAAAACTCAAAATTGTCGGATTTTTACGCTTATTAAACATGAAAATGTAAACGGAAGAAAATAATTTAAAAAGTAAAACTGCGGCTCCAACGCATCCACAAAATATTTGCGCAGATTAGAGAAGACAGTGTGAACGATCGAAAGTAGTTTATGGGTAATTTCCTGTTAGATATTTTTTATCAATGCTCCACGAGGTGAGATAGGCTATTTGAGATAAGAATCAAACGAAGGCAATGATGAAAGTGAGGCAACGCAGGAGATATGCTATCATACTCAAATATCCAACAAAGTAGTTGAAAATCAGTTGCACCAGATTGATTAAGTTTATCGCTTTGATGGGTAGCTGTCATACTATATAAGCGAACACATGTGCGTTTCGCTACTTAATAGAAATATTCCTTTTTTTTTTTTCTTTTTTCTTTTTTTTAATTTCTAACAAATTGTGGCGAATGGTAAAAAGAACGTGGATTTTTTTTTTTTTTTTTTTTTTTTTTTTTCAATTATTTCACCCCAAGTAAGGCAATAAAGCCACTGAACGTGAAGGTATATGTGGAAAAACATTAAGAAAAGAGAACAATAAAATAACAGGAATTAAAAAGACAGAAGGAAGATAACGATTTACATTGCATTTCAATATTTGAAGATCATAGTTGACGTGAGAGCAAGAAGCCGGAACTGATTCCCACAAGCAAGAAGTGCGAGAGAATAAACTGTTGGCATAGAACTTAC